GAAGAAAACAAAAGGAACAGAACTAATATTTAACACTATAATCCCTATAATCCATGAAAACTATTTCTGGGAATGAGAAAAATTAAGTCAACATATGAGAAAAAAAACAGCAAAATTAGTCAAAAACAACCAACTTCAAGAATTACCCTAGTAAAAAAAAAAAAAAAAAGGACAATAAAAAATGGCAATGCCTCAAGCAAAAAGAAAGTAATACATTCTCTACAAGGGTAAAAAAATAAGGCTGATACCAGAGATATCCACAGAATATTTTTTCAGAAAGTCACAAAAGAGACTGTAAGCCAAGCATTTCATGTCTAGTCAACCTGTCATTCAAGTGACAAGACCACAGAAAAATAGCCTGGAATGTGCAAGATATCAGGGAATACTGTACACAGGGGTCTTTTCTGAGGAATACATTAGTGGATGAGTTTTATACAAACAGGAAATAAGTGGGTAAATATCAGCAAATGAACTGATGTCAATATTTAATAAATTTAATTTTAGAATTGATTCTAAAACAAGGTGACAGCATGGGTTGAAGAATAAAGGATATATGTATACGTATATTCTAACAAAGTAGCAAGAATAAAAAGAGAAGAAATATGAGGAAAAGAAGTAAGGAAAAGTACAATAGAAGCATCAGCTATTAAAGGTAACAGATGGGAGTCAAGGATGCCATATAAAAGGTTAAGTATAAATAACGGGGATTAAAAGCATTATAAAAGATATAAATACAAAGGTAGCCACTAGAACAAAAACTCAAACCTTCCAAATTTAATAATAATAATAATAATAACAACAACTTCAGAGATAATACTCCATAACATTCTATACATCTTCCACTAGCCATCATCCTTTGTTCATTCAGAACTACCTTTCAAAGATGTTTTGAATAGCAAACAGTCTTGGAAAATAGAGATAAAATCTGCTGCTGAAGCAGAAGACAGGGACAGGGAAGGAACAAGAAAAGCCCAGAATATAGTGTAACAGCATGTAAGAAAGCACTTAAAAAAAAAGTTGGGGTATATCAAAAGGACTAGAAGCCATCTTGAAAGTAAACTCCCTAGGAAAAATCTGGGACAACTTGAGCATTAAAATAAATAAGGAAAGTAATTAATAGTAACCTATTTAGTAAAATAAAAATCTGTAAGTCCTTGTTCACAATATATAGATGAATAAAGAAAGTTGGGTAGGCTCTCTTTACAGTAGACTGCTGCCTGCTAAATATGGGAGGAGCAGAAGAATTAGAAGAATTGGAAAATCGCCATTTTGCAATTATCAGGCAAGAATCATCAGTGGACAATGGGCACCAAGCTTCACAGGCTCTGTCTAGAACAGCCGTGGGCAAACTACGGCCCGCGGGCCGGATTCGACCCGTTTGAAATGAGTAAAACTAAAAAAAAAAAAAAGGCCGTTCCCTTTTATGTAATGATGTTTACTTTGAATTTATATTAGTTCACACAAACACTCCATCCATACTTTTGTTCCGGCCTTCCAGTCCAGTTTAAGAACCCATTGTGGCCCTCGAGTCAAAGAGTTTGCCCACCCCTGGTCTAGAACTTTAAACAGACGTAGGCTTTATGGGTAGTAGACAAGTTTGTGAAGAGAAAAATAACAAGGTACTGGGTAGTCCATTATAAGTATACTAGTGACTGGACACACGAAATTGTGCAGCCCCGCCCACCCGCGCATGCCCTGCCTTGAGACCCTAACTTCTCCATCCAGAGCTCGAGCACACCTGGCCCTATCCCCAACCCTTCTGGCCTTCTCTGGCCACTTCAAGCCCCGCCCTCGGTCTTGCCAGTCACCTCAGGCTGGTCCCACTTCCTCTGGGCACCTCCCTGCTTCCGCCCCGTCTCCAGAGCAACGCAGTGGCTCCGCCCCATCATGGCGCTGAAGGAGAGTGTGGAAGCCTCCCATCTGCTGCGGAGTTTCAAGCGCTGCTTCTTGGCGGCGCGTGTACTGAGTGGGAGCAGTGGGTGGTGAAGGACTGGTGAGAGGGCACTACGGGCTCTCACCCCCGCCCTCCCCACCATGGGATGGTCTCACATCCTCCGGGCGCCACCCTGCTTCCGCCCCATCTCCAGAGCAACGCCACAGCTCTGCCCTGCAGCGCACGCAGCCTCCTGCTGAATGGTTGTTACGGCGTGAGGGTGTCACGACCATTAGCATATTAGCTCTTTATTATATAGGATTAAGCTAAGAATAACATGCTGGACAGCTTCCAAGAAAAGTAGGCAACATAGAAATAAAGGAATGATAGAACAAAATAAATTTGAAAAGATAAAGGCTACATAATGAAGAAATTATTCCAATGTGTGGAATGCTCTTCTCATTTTAATTTTATACCATGTATTTCATAAAATCAATCTATTAGAAGTTATACTTCTAATTGTATTTGGCTATACAGTCAATTCAAAGACGGGTTATTTGTGCTAGATAGCAAGGGCTATGAGTATCTGCTCAGTTGGAAAATGGAGAAACACACACCAAAGGAGCCCATAACTGCTAGACAGACAGGTTTCATTAATGCTCAATCAATAAATTCTTGAGTTCACTTCCTTCTCAGGTTGTTAGCAAGAATATCACTGAATTTTCTGAATATTATGAGTGCACAAAGCAATATATATATATGTATATATGTGTGTGGTATTATGTTATACAGCTATATAGTCATATTATTGCTAATAATTCAGAGCTGAGTCAATTTTATAATAAGTTACAGAGTTCTTGAACAACTTAAATAAAATACATTAAAATCTACTCCTCGCCCTCCCCCCATTACCTGTTGTACTAATCCAGGCTCTCTCATTCCAAAAATGCATTATGTTTGAAATATATTTGATGTATACGACATAGATAAAAATGAAATATAACTTAGGTTCAAGAATAGAAAAGAATAATTAACAAACAATTGCTTGTGACTTTAATAAGTGGCTAAGCTTCATCAAAGGTTTTTAAATATTTTTAGTTGGAGAACTCTTTCTTCAGATGAAATCTTATTTTTAAAGTTTAAAATTTTACAAAATAACTAAAAGTGGAACTACTCTGGTTAGAGTGAGCAGAGGAAGTCTGGAGTGCCAAATGCTTTGAGGAGCCTTATTGGCAGCCCAAGGCACAGTTAGAAAACCACTGCAGAAGATTATGAGTATAAATAAATAAAATAGTCACTGAAAATGAGATCATACTAGTGAGTATAAAAAATATAAAATATAAACTAAAAAAATTTAACTTATTATTATTTACTTAGGAATATGAACCAAGTAAATATGTCTTTTAAATAAATAATCTATAAGAGAAATCTAAATGAGAAATAATCTAAAAGAGCTCAATTTGACACTGTGGAAGATGTTCTTCCTTGTTATAAACCCTCAACTGATACTGAAACATGATGTCTTAGATTAACATTTTTCCCCCCGAATATATATATATACATATATATTTTTTAAATATATTTTGATTTTTTACAGAGAGGAAGGGAGAGGGATAGAGAGTTAGAAACATCGATGAGAGAGAAACATCAATCAGCTGCCTCCTGCACACTCCCTACTGGGGATGCACCCACAACCAAGGTACATGCCTTTGACTAGAATCGAACCCAGGACCCTTCAGTCCACAGGCCAACGCTCTATCCACTGAGCCAAACCAGTTAGGGCCCGAATATATTTTATTGATTTTTTTACAGAAGGGAGAAGGATAGAGGGTTAGAAACATCGATGAGAGAGAAACATCAATCAGCTGCCTCCTGAACACCTCCTACTGGGGATGTGCCTGCAACCAAGTTACATGCCCTTGACCAGAGTCAAACCTGGGACCTTTCAGTCTGCAGGCCGATGCTCTATCCACTGAGCCAAGGCAGATTAATATTTTTATTCTGATGTCTGCATATTCTAAATATTTGTGCCACTATGAAGTAATTAACAAGGACTTGGGACATCATTTTTAATAATGAGAATAACAATTTTATTTATTTACTTCTAATCTGGACAAATATATAGTTCAAATTTTCTAACAAGGTTATTATATCCTGCTTTAATAATTACCTGTAATTTTTCAAAAATCTGTTTCCTTAGTTTGTTTAGCTATTGAAAGGAAAACCAAAAATCCCTTACAACTCTCTACTATAACTCAAAATGAATCTGCCTCTTATTACTGTTTGTTTTTTTTAGAAGACCAAAAGCACATTAATCGTTAACAAAGCTACAATATGATATACGAATGAGGTCTTGCATTAAAAAAGTACTTAGATTGTATTTACAAAAGAATCTCTCATTAATTATTCAACATTTGGATTTGACCAGAAACCAGAGCATGACTTTGTAATGTTCTGTTTAAATGAAGTACTTAATGTTGTAATGAACAACACTCATTGTGGTAAACTCAATGAATTTTGGACCTGTTACAATACAACAGTTTTTCCAATTTTTTGATTAATGGACATATTTTAATGTAAAGTCAGTTTAAATTTCACTTATGCTTTAAAAATGTTTACTTAAACCAAAAATTTTGCATCTCAATTATTTTACGTTCTAAGCTGAATGTAGTTTAAACCAATGCATTATTCATAAAGCAAAGACATTAGGAAAAACAAAGCTGTGCACTTCTTCCAAAGCCGTTAAATTGCTAAAACATACCATATTTATGCATGCAATATTTGATTGTGTTTTTCTTAAAACACAAGCTTGTTTTTGTCAGATCAAGATATGCCAAAAATTCTACACCAATTTTTGTTTATAATTAAAGCAATCATCAATCCAAGGATTGTCATCCGTTTTATTTCATCTCTACATCAAAAAAAAAGTAATCTAAAAAAATTTAAATTCCCTTGAAATGACAAGATAAATGAAAATGTAAGTGCCTTCACATAATAGCAGTAAGCTGACCCTTTGGGAAATGGTTGACTTTCTCAATAAAAGGTATTCAAAGCTCATTCAAAAGTGTTCATTTGGAATGCAGATATCAAAGATGATGCAAATGTTCAAGAGAAAATTAGAACTTACCAGATGTTCTAATCCAGCTTTGATGTTTCCAGATTCCCTAAAATAGAAGAATAAAAGTTCTAAATAGTTGCTAAACCCTTGTCTGCTATAATTTATATTTACCTCAAAACTATTTTATAAATCCTTAGAAGTTTTTCATATATCTTTACTAATGTTCATATAACACTATTTTTAATGACAAAACAATTTACATCAAAAAGAAGCAGATAAGTAATTTATATCTACTAGTATTTCCACTAAATTGGTATTCCACTAACAAAAAGAATGTTTCAGATTTTTCAAAGTTAACACACAACAAAAAGAAGTATATTATTATTTTACTATTAATTTACTATTTATTTCACATTAGTTTTCTCTCATTAGTTTGTTTTCTCCAACTTTTATTATGAAAATGTTCAAACATACAGGTTCTATCCACAATACAGATCCTACATTGACATTTTACTATATTTGCTTTATCAAATATCCGTCCAGTAATGGTTGCATTTTTATTAAAGAATATGCTCCTAAATAATATGCTCATAATTTCATAGTTAAACAGTAAATTTTAACAAATTTTTGTTGATATTAATTTTATTAACTTAGTTCACACTACAAATCAGGATCTAAGACTACTGAAATATTAAAAAACAAAGTATCACCAAAAAAACATAAACATCAGATATCATATTTTCAGTATTTAATTTCTTACTCTTCACTTAAACAGAACACTGCTGATGGAATTAAAAATAAAAATACCTGTGCAAGTAGCAAACATAATTTAAATATATACTTGGTGAAATGTGGCAAATAGCTAAATTTTTTAATCCCGATTTCAGAGTATACTAATTAATTAGTGACAAATGTTTTTTTTGGCTTTTCTCACCCTGATCAAGTAGTATTTTAATTCCATCAAAAACACCAACCCTGCCCTAACCGGTTTGGCTCAGTAGATAGAGCGTCGGCCTGCGGACTCAAGGGTCCCAGGTTCGATTCCGGCCAAGGGCATGTACCTTGGTTGCGGGCACATCCCCAGTAGGGAGTGTGCAGGAGGCAGCTGATCGATGTTTCTCTCTCATCGATGTTTCTAACTCTCTATCCCTCTCCCTTCCTCTCTGTAAAAAATCATTAAAATATACAGCAAAAACAAAAACAAAAACAAAAAAAAACCCCAACCCTTATTTTTTAACATGAAATTATACTTCTATCACATTGCAGAAAATATTCATGGAAATTCAACAACCAAAACAGTGTTGCATTCACGGTGTTTAATCTTTTCCCCACACCTCTTCTTTCTCTGAAGGGTCCTTTCTTTCTTTCCTCTTTATTTCTGATTTCAATTTTCTTTGCCTATATACTTCTCTGTTTCCTTTGTCTATCTTTCAATCATTCCAAATTTCCCTTCAAACCCATGGCTCCCAACCTTTGCTCCCACTGCCCAGTCTGACATATTGGGAATAAATTTCAACATCTACTGATTAGCAAAGCACTTATCTTTAGCCATTCTCTCTCTTCTTTCTGCTTCTGGCAATCTTAACCATACCATGTATTCAACATTTAAAATGTAGGATTTCTAAAACTCATTCTCTGGATGCCCTAATGATAAATGATAGGCATAAATTAAAAACAAGGTGTCAGAAAAGGCTAATAGCTACATAAATAATTATTTTTAACATTATTATTACAAAATAATGCATTTAATGGATCTGGAAGGCAAACAGAATTTCAAATTTTTGCAAGGACATTCTCATATGATCATCTGTGTAATCTGAAATATAAACAAAAAGAATAATGTATATAGTGAAACATCTGACAGTGTAATATGTGTATGTGCACACAACAGTGAAATTGTCTTCCTCTTATCACTGACTCCCAATTCTCAATCACTAATATTACCATTGTTTGTCTTTCTAAAAAAATTCTATATGTATGTACATGTGTATTTCTTCCTTCGCATTTTTTTTAATTTTATTTTTTATTAAACCCAAACAGAAACATACTATAAGCACTGTTTTTGGTACCTTCACTTGGCAATCTATCTTGGAGTCTGCTCTATATAATACACATCTACATCATTTTCCCCATGGCTACATTGTCACATAATGGTTCTTATTAGAAAATAATGTTACAATATAAAAAAAAAGTTCAGATTCAAAGTACAAGTCCTTAATTAATTACCTGAAATCACTGGGGCTAGACATGCTTCATCAGAATAGTTGGGAGTTTAGAAAGGTAATAAGGTATATATAATATATGTCACGCAACACTGACAGCATGACTCAAAGCAGCATCTCATCATCATACACATTAATTCTAAAAGAAACATGAATATTCCACAGAGTGGGATAAACAAAGGCTATAAGTAGCTTCATTTCAGGGTAGGTTTTGATGTAAACTGAGTTTACCACAAAATTAAGGAAAATCAATTCTCTGAGCTGTTTGCATTTTGGAATCAAGGACAAGAAACTATTCCTAAAAATAAGAAAAGATCGGCTAGGCTATTGCTTTGCTATACTTCAAAGTGATTCTTTAAATTAAGTGATATTTAGGAAATATGCTTTTAGAATGGTATGCCTGAAAGAAAACTAGGAAGCATCCTTGACACAAGCCTTTTTTCACTACCAGTTGTAAACAAATGTACTCAATCACAGGGACTTGGCTATTCAACATCCTTAATTACCATATAGATTTAATCACTTTTATCTTCACAGGTACTACCTTATTTTAGGTCTTTTGTTTTCTCTCTGATGTTACTAAGAGAGAGTACTGGTCTCATCTTTTCTCTCCCAGATTACTACAAAACATCCTAATGGTTAAAAATGGGTCCTGCCTTGCACCACATCAATTCACTCTCTATAATACAGCAAAATCTTTCTAAAATGTAAGCTTGATCATGTCAAACCCCTTCTTAAAATCAACGGTATCTTACTACACTCCTGTTTACTCATTCCCTCTGCTTTATTTCCAAAGCTACATCACATGGAAAATGACAATAGCAGCATAACAGACTAGTAACCTGGCTTCACTCACTACTGTCTATTTTGTCAGATATACGTGTTGCTACTTCAGCTTTTTAAAATTTTTATTTGCATGAAATATCTTTTTCTATCCTTTAACTTTCAGTCTATGTGAATCTTTTGTTCTGAGTGGATCTTTTGTCAACAGCACATATATGGGTCTTGTTTTCCTATGCATTCAGCTACCCTATATCTTTTGATTGGAACATTTAGGCCATTTACATTTAAAGTGATTATTGATGATACATATGTATTGCCATTTTATTTTTTTAACTATGTTCCTATTTTTCTTTCTTCTTCAAGAAGACCCTTTAACATTTCTTGTATTACTGGTTTGGTAGCAATGAACTCATTAAGTTTTTTCTTGTCTGGAAAACTCTTTATTTCTCCAACAATTTTATTTTATTCTTTTCAAGACTTAACATTTATTTTTTTGGAAAGGTCGAGGGGGACTTTGCACGAATCTGAAGCCAATAACTAGACAGGAAGATATATAAAAACAAAGCCAGTATGTTGTGGCAAAATTCCAGAAAACACACTGAAAAAATTTTTTACAGTTTAAAACGGTTTTACTTTATACATAATTACAAATGTATATACAGCACATGGGTTTTACCCCTTATGTAATGGATAGCTTTGCTGTGTAAAGTAATCTGGATTATAGGTCTTTCCTTTTCATCACTTTGAATATTTCATGACAATTCCTTCTGGCTCAAAATGTTTCTGTTGAGAAATCAGCTAAAAATCTTATAGGAGCTCCATTGTAGGTAACTATCTTTCTTGTGCTGCTTTTAATATTGTCTCTTTGTCTTTAACTTTGCCATTTTAATTATGATGTATCTTGGTGTGGGCCTCTTTGGGTTCATCCTGTTTGGGAACTCTATTTCCTGAACCTGTGTATATTTTTTCCTTCACCAGGTTAGGGAAGGTTTTGGTCATTATTTCTTCAAATAGGTTCTCTATTCCTTGCTCCCTCTCTTCTCCAGATGTGGATGTTGTTAAACTATCCTTAATCCTTTAAACTATCCTCATTCTTTTTAATTCTTCTTTCTTTTTGCTGCTCTTATTGGGTGTTTTTTCTACCTTGTCTTCTAAATCACGAATTTTATTCTCTGCTTCATCCAACCTACTTTTTAATTTTTTCCAGTTTATTCTTGATGTCAGAAATAGTATTCTTCATTTCCAACTGGTTCTTTTTCATGGTTTCTATGTCCCTTTTCATGCTGTTGTAGTTTTCACTAAGTTCCCTGAGCATCCTTATAACCGTTACTTTGAACTCTATATCTGATAAATTTCTTTCCTCCATTTCATATGCCTCTTTTTCTGGAGATTTCTCCTATTCTTTCATTTGGAGCATGTCTCCCCATTTTGGCTGCCTCTTTGTTTTTGTTTCTATGTATTAGGTGGTTCTCATAGGATGACCTTATGAAGGAGGTGCCCTGTGGGACCAGTGGCAAAGTCCCCTTGACCAACTGTGCTGGGTGCTCCAGGAATGTCCCTTGTGTGCATTATGTGGGCCCTCCTCTTGTAATTGAGTATTGATTGTTATTGGCTTCTTTGTGTTTAGGGTCGACACTCAGGCTGGCTGACTCTGAGGATCGACCCCGACCACAGTGTGTATGAGCTGCTGCGTAGATGCTGACCATACTAAGTAGATTTTGCCTCAGCAGAGTCCGGTGCCTGATTAGATCTCCCTTTGGCGATGCCACTTGTGATGCTAATTAAATCCTGCTATGATGCTGTCTGAAGCTGGTCACTGGGTATGTTTGTTCTGGGGCCTCTTGGGAGGGGCTCTGGTACAGGGCAATTTAGAAGCTGCCTGTGACTGGCCCTGAGCAATCTGTTTGGAGCCACAAGGTGAGCCCCAGTTTGTGGCTGTCTCTGTTGGGCCTGCCTGGGTGTGTGGGAAGGAACAAACTGTACACCAAGACCGGCGTTTTCTAGCACCAAGGCCGGTCAGCAAAAGTCCCAAGAAACCCTGAGATCTGCCTCTCCTGTGTCTGCCAGCTACCTTAGGCTCAGACACTGAAAGAGCCTCTGG